AAATAAAAATGCCACATTTTCAATACAAGTCCATATTTGGATATCAATTTGCAGAAAATGTACTATGACTTATAGTCCCATCGAAAAAATTTGTAATGTCCACCAAATGTTTGGGATATACATAGATCGGCCCTCCGAACTTAATAGCGTTTTTAATTTTTAAACTTGTGTCTTTTCGTAACGTACTAGTTCCATAAAACTACTCTGCAAAATGAATGATTGGTACTAGGTGAGACTCTTTTGTTTTACTAGTCCCTTTTACCACAGTCACTTATTTTTACCCTTGTTAATTTAGTTAAAGTTGTATATTTTTGTAACAAACTAGCTCAATGAAACTATTCAGCAAAAGGAACATGTTCCCATTGTTTACTTTAGTGAACAAGAATACGTTCGAACTTCACAATGTCGGTAAAATTGTATTAAGTTCTCTGAAAACATATAGTCCATGGTAAAGAAAATTTTTAATTCACACCAAAACTTTGGGATATAAATAGTTTGGCTCAGCCCGGAGTTGTGGCTTTCCGGTAAGGAACTAGTTCAAAGAAATTATTCTGTAAAAGGAGCTGTAGGTACTATGCTATAGGTACTATGTTTAAATATTTTGTTCAGCTAGTTCTTCCTCTTGTTAATTTACATCCACCAGCCATAGTATCAAAATTAAAGATTTTACACCATTGAATTAAAATATCAGGCAATAGAAAAGTTACTACTTCAATATTTCCCCATTACTTATTTTAATGAACAAGAATAAACAAGAACTTCACAATTGACTGAAAGAACTGATGTGTACCAATGAACGATAGAATTAAAATAGCTCATCCGCATGTAAGTAATAATTTTTAATATATACATCGTTCTTGCGCCTAACTTCATTCACATATAATTTCTACAGGAATCCACTCAAGAACCGGGAAGCTAAAAATGCTTTATTCTGTTCTGAATAGAGTTGGGTATTTCCGGATCGAACTAGTTCATTGGAACTATTCCGAGAAAAGAATGATCGGAACTAGTTCCAGCTGTTTAATTAATTAAAAAGAACGATGAAAGGGAGATTCAAAGGAAATATCTACGATTCTGAACTATATGGAACAAAGGAACTATATTGAGGAACTAGTTCAATTAAAAAAAAAAGAACAAAAAATATCGATCCGCCAAGTGAACTAGATTGCCCAACTCTAGTTCTGAAGAAAATTGTTGAACTTGTTCATAAACTGTGCACAAAATTATATAGTGCGTGCAACGCAAGGCATAAATATCTGTGTAGCAAACTAACTATATCCTTCACTTTTTAATAGGGTGTATGTGAATGAGCAAATACAGTTTAGCATTTTTCTCACAGCACACTTATATATGTGATATATATTTGCTTACTTAGCGACTCAGTAAAATCAGGGAGCACAAGACACACAAAAAATAAACACAGTTGATTAATTGAATGAAAAAAGAAAAGCAACACAAGGACATTTTATTTAATCCTAATGGCAAATTAATGTTTACCAATACACGCACCATGCGCACGTAATCATCTTATCTTCCTCAACATTAACTTAAATTCCAAATGATTAACAATAATGTGCTAATTATCCATACAATGGGCAACTGCCGACCACTGGCATTTTTCATTTCAATTGGAAACATATCATCCCATAGTTGATAGTATTCGGTATATGGCCATTTACCCATTTTCGCAGTTTTGCCATTATAAAGTATTGGTGAATTTGTGGCACCAACTGGTGACCATTCCTCGACATCATCGGCAATGGGTTTGCTGGGAATTTGAGAAGAAAATTTTTAAAAAAAAATATAATTTTTTGGAATGTGTAATGAATTTTGAAATCATACCCAGTAGTGGCAAATGTGGTCCATAATTGTGTCAATCGTTTTACCATAAAAATATCGACATCATCTTTGGCCATTTGTGTACCATACCATAGGCCTGGCATAACATATTGTAAATCATCGGCATGACCAACACCTGTAAAAAATTGTATTTTTATTAAATAAAATAATGTCTTCAGATTAATTGTTCATTAATTTCAAAATTTAATTCTATGACAATAACGTCGAAGTTAAGTGTGAGGATTTTTGATGGGCAAATTGAGATTTGTATCCTCTCTTATAAATTCAATGTTTCCTTTCCTCTTCAAAGCAAAACTTCGATTATTAAGCTCGACTCGAAAGAGAAAATAAACTATAGCTTATAATTATTTCTGCCCTCTTTCGTACTTACCCTGTGATAGTCCAAGATGGTCGGGATATAAACTTCTACCACCAATATAATCTGTACGATAATAATAAACAGGGGTATCGTTATGGGAGAGAGTTACCAGACGATGAATGCCATGCCCCAGTATGGCATCCGAAAATATTTGGCCAAAAATGAAAAGATTTGTTGAATTAATTTCCGTGGCTTCGGGGCTCATATAGAAATTCCATATTCGGCGACTTTTCAATTGCTCCGGAGGTACATCTGAAGATTCCGGTTTGTAGAGGAATATTTCGGGAGCATAAAGATCAAAACTAACAAGCAGATCATGCAATAAGCGGGTATTGTTCTCATGAACTAAGACAAAAAAATTAGATTATTTTTTTCAATTATCTAAATATTTGGTTTCTTAATACTTACCCTGCACCGAAAAATCCAATTCGTTGCGAGCAAAACCCACAATCATTGGCACCTTATTAAATTTACCCTCTGCAAAAATTTGGCTTGGATGCTGTGGCAAAAAGTGACCATCCACTTCATAATTCCATTTCATATTGACAAACGAGTAGGGTTCCCATTCGGCACATTTATTTACAATGGTTTTCCAGCTAATTTCTCTTAGACATTCCACCATATCCACGGGATCGTATTGAGGACACGACACTTCTCTAGCCAATTTCCTTGTCCAATAAAGATTATCGATATCATAGTGATTTGTTGCCGAACCACTCATAAGTATGGCCCTGTGAAAGAGGCCCTTCGACAAAGGTGATGCCATGTGCAGTGACACAGCCATGGAACCAGCACTCATACCAAATATTGTTACCGATTGAGGATCACCACCAAAATTAGCAATATGATCGCGAACCCATTGCAGAGCCAATACCTGATCTAGATAACCATAATTTCCAGGATATTCCAGGGTGCGAGTACTTAGGAAACCCAAAGCCCCCAAGCGATAATTAAATGCCACCAAGACCACATCATGATCAAGTAAATATTGTGGTCCCGCTTCGTATAAGCTATGACCACTACCCAAAACATTGGCACCTCCATGAATGTAAACCATGACGGGCAAACGTGCGGTTACATTCTTTGTGAACACATTCAGCTTCAGACAATCTTCACTCATAACAATTTGCAAGGCGCCTGGTTGGGGACATACCAAACTGTCTGTGGTAGCTTTCAAAGTTTCATTCCAAGGTTCCACCGGCACGGGAGCTTTAAATCTTAAATCGTTGACTGGTGCTTTGGCATAGCGTATACCTCGATATGCAAAAATCGGCTTATCCTCCAAAGTTGTTAGTAGTTTGCCTTGGATTTTACCCAATGATGTTTCGACAATCGGCACATCTGCATCAGGTTCTTCATTTGTCCTCACCTCAACGATATTTTGTAATAAGAAAATATTGAAAATTATGGCCAATCCCAATGATTTCATGTTGATTGCGAAATTGATACTAAAAGTACTTATTTTCTAATCAAACTGCATTGTACTATACCTTTATGAGAGTTGAGACTGATAAGATTTCCAAAGTTCGGAGTGGTTTGTTGGAGCGATAACCACTCTTAGCGGACTAATGGGCTCTTTTGAATTTGTTTTGGAAGAGCTATTAATGGCAAAAATTAATCTGAGAAATAAGAGTCCAATGTTCGAATATTTAGATAACAGTTAATAGGGGGAATAGTAGAGCTTTTGCAATTTGCGAACATAGAGAGTGACACCTTAGGAGTAAAGAAAATGCAATAAAGACCGCAAAATAAAATTCATCGGTAAGAGTTAAATAGTGGTGTTAAGTGGAGTATGGGTCACTGCCATAGGGAAAACACGCTTCGATTTTATCCGTTCTGAAAAAAATTAACGTCTGTTGTGGACTCCATAATTTTTTTTTTAAATCCACGCCTATTGAGGACTTCATAAAAATATTTTTTTAAATCGAGGCCTATTGAGGACTTCATAAAAATATTTTTTTAAATCGAGGCCTATTGAGGACTGCATAAAATATTTTGTTTTTAAATCCACGCCTATTGTGGACTCCATAAACATTAAAAAAAAATCATTTTGAGGACTGCTTAAAAATATTTTTTAAAATATCAACACCTATTGAGGACTCCATAAAAATGTTTTTTTTTTTAATCCACGCCTATTAATGACTCATTCACTTATTATTTATTCTATTATCTGTCCATATATTAGGTAGTTAGCGACCCGTGACATTTTTCATTTCAATTGGAAACATATCATCCCATAGTTGATAATATTCGGTATATGACCATGGACCCATTTCGGCAGTTTTGCCATTATAAAGAATTGATGAATTTGTGACACGAACATCTTCCTCGACATCTTCGGCAATGGGTTTGCTGGGAATTTGGATGACAAGTTATGCGAGTTTTTGCTGATATGATTTGTTGGAGTGTTCTGTTTGATGGTTATCGCTCTTGGCGGTTAGCTGGACTCTTCATTTTGATTTGATTTGGAAGTATCATTAATGACAAAAAATTGTTTCTCAGAAGTAAGAGTCCCATTATCTAATATCGATATTAAAATACAAACGTCAAAAATAATCGAGTTTTTGTCAGTTTTCGAATAATGGTATGGGGTACTGCGGCTGGGGGTTGAGCCATGTGAAGTAAAGATTTTGTTCCGATTTTGTCCGTACTGAACAGTAATTTTATTGGTTACTGACTGACAGTGAATGAACGTTAACGATAGATAACCTGAAACAACAGATGTTAAATGTTCAGAAGGTCGGAAATATAAAGATAATGCTCACCCTCTTAAATTTAGCCACGAAGGCAGGACCTCACCGAAAAGTTTTCGGAAAAGGGACATAAGCATTGCTAAGAAGAAGAAAAATGTTAGGCTACACAATTCCAACCTCCAACTGTTGCCCTTGTGAAGGTCACCCTAGGTAAGATTCCCAAGAATCCTGCAAGCAAAAGAAAGTTAAGTCGAGCGATCTTTTGAAGCATCAAAGAGAAATTTATAAATCCTTTAAGGGCAAAGGAAGTCTCTTTCCTTCCGTAAACTTCAGAATGTTCTTCCAATTCGAAAAAAAGGAGTTGAGTTGTGCCCAAGTATATTATACATGCTGTGGAACCTTTTCGATTCGATTTTACTACAGATTAATCCACGCCTGTTGTGGAATTCATAAAACTATTTTTTTTTAATCCACGCCAGTTGAGGACTTCATAAAAGTTTTGTGTTGTAGACTTTATAAAAATATTTTTTTTTAAATCCACGCCTGTTGTTCATTAAAATACATTTTTTGTTTAAAAATATTTTTTTAAATCCACGCTTGTTGTGGACTTCATAAAAATGTATATTTTTTAATCCATACCTGTTGTGGACTCCACAAAAACATTTTTCTTATTAAATCCACGCCTCTATAAATTTTCTTTTAGAAAAATCCACAACTATTGGGGACTCCATACAAATTTTTAAGAAATCCCCGCTTATTGAGGACTCCACAAAAATTTTTGTTAAGAAATCCCCGCCTATTGAGGACTCCAAAATATATTTTTAAAAAAGCCACCCCTATTGAGGTCACCATAAAAATACTTTTTAAATATATTCCTCCTGTGGACTCCAAAAATATTCCTCCTGAGGACTCCAAAAATATATTTTATAAACTCAAAGTCTACTGAGGAATCCAACAATATTTTTTTAAAAACTCCACGCCTATAGAAGACTTTATAAAATATCTTCTAAAAAATCCTATTGAAGGCTCTAAAGAAAATCGGATTTAAATAAATCCACGCCTATTGTAGACTCCAAATTTTGAAAACTGTACCAAAAAAGTAACCCGAAATCTTTCCAACAAAAGACTAATTTAAATAAATATATTTTTTACCGCCGACTATTTCATTGGTGTTAATTACACTAACCTTATTAGATGGATCATAAAATCTCTTCATTTCATTTGAACTTCCCCATTTGACAAAATAAAGTCTCCCAAAATATGGATGGAGAGGCTATTGTCATTTCGTTTGGGTGCATTCTAATTGAAATAAACGATGCTCAATTACAAATACCGAAAAAAAAACTATACCAAAAATTCTAACAACTAGTGCAATGACCTTTTCCTCCATCACCAACTTCAACTACCTCCCGAAACCAATGAATAGTTATGTATGTATACTCGTATATATGAATGTGCGTGATTTGCATGCATCAACCACCCAGACGGAGGAGAGCATCATTCCGTCAGTCTGTTCTAACAACAAGCGTAAACTATTATTCCCAAAAACAAAACAAAAACTCATTGACTTAATTCATCTGCAGACACAATTCATGCTGCATATTTATCGAATTAAATGACTTGGGATCTATGCATTCGCATCCCTCCCCCGGAACTCTTCTCTATGCCACCAATTTAACTACAGACTCCATGGAAGTGGTTGTTAGATGTTTCTATGTATGAGTGAGTGAGTTTATGACTTTGTTTTATAGGTTTATTATTATTTTTTACTTTATTAAATTTAATTAAAGATTACGGATTATGGTTATTTTTTGGGGTGAGTGGTTCCGAATCCATCGCTTCTTCACATTTTTTAACACAATAATTTCTAATAAACATTTGTTTGCTTATTAACAAAAAATATAACTCATATTCAAGTGAATGGCATTGTTTTGGAGTTTTAGAGCTTCAATTTAACAAAAACAAAAAAATATTGAAAAAAAGAAAGGCCGCAAATGAAACATAATTTCCTTCGGTGTTTTGTTTTCTGAAAAGTGACGACGATGATGATGATGAGCGTTGTTTTTCAATTAATTTCAATTAAGCTGCACACACACGGCCACTGTCGCATCCCGAAACGCATCTCTACTTCCATCAAAAAAATAAATAAATTGAAGTATTAATGTTCAAAATGTGTTTAGAATATCCATAACTATTTTTTTTTGTATGTATCTGCGTGAATGCAACAATTTTCAGTTTTATTTATATTTTGAACCGACATTAAGGTTCATTTGCCTTTTGTCTTGTGGGGTTTTTCCTCCCTGGTTTTTGTGGTATAAATTGCGTGTGAGAGTTCTAAACACTTGGCTTTTCCGAAAACCTTTTTTTGTTCCTCTTTGGAACTTTGCCATTGTAAGGTTTTATCGAACGAACTTAATTGACAGTATTTTTTCTTGTTCAATTAAAATGATTTAATTTTATGACTCGTAAATGTCAAAAAAGCCTTGAATTGTCCATTGATTGAATGAGTTGTCATTTGCTTCATAAATGTATTGGGGAAAATATATTTTTTCCTTTTATTGATTTTTAGAAAGAAAAAATATTTATACATTTAAGAAAGTCAACCCCTTTCACCTTAAATTATACCAAGATTGTGGTATCACGCTATTATTGCCTAGACTTCAGCCATATTTTTTAGCCCAATTCCAGAGTCGACACAGTACTAAGACCACACGTTATATAGTGGAAAATTCTGAAAAATATAGGACTTCGTTCAAAAATTAATAAAATGGCGGACCTTTGAAAACATATTTTTGGAAAATCGCAAGTTTTTTGATCCAAAACCAAGTTAAAAAATAAGGAAGTTCATCATCGATTGGCTAGTTCATACGTTAGCTTTACACTCACAGAGAAACGTCCCAAAATTTGAAATCGATTGGGTTATTAATTTGTGAGTTATCGTGCCCGCCATTCGCAAAAACGCTGTTTGGAAAAAAAGCGTTTAAAGTTTGAAAAGCCCTCTTGCTGTCACTTGGTGCTAACACAATAAATCGGCTATATCTTTAAAAAATGTTTGAGATTTTCACTTGAAATTTTACAAGGACGTTCTTGAATTAGTGTCGGTCCGAAATACAAAATTAAATGTTTGGGAACCGAGAAGGAGGGGGGATGCTCCCCAAATTAAATGAATAAAATTATGATCAGTGTTATCCACTTTAAAATTTACATCAACTTTTTGGAGTTCAAACAAATCATCTCTGAATCTCTCTGAAGAATTTCTGTGTCTAAAAGTTGTTTCCAGCATATGGTAGGTTTGGAAATATTCATTGAAGATCCCATACATCGTCGAAAATTTACTTCTTGAATGTTTGGCATTAAAAGTGGAACATATTGGTATTTTTACCGCGATATTGGTAATTCAACCTCCAAGAAGTCCAGATTATTTTCAATTACAGGTTCCTTTTTTTGACATATCCGCCACATTTTAAATAT